TTTTTTTCTTAAGATACTATTTCTTTATACCTTTCATACCATTTTAATTATAAGATAGAATAAGACTAAGAAACGTTTCGACAAATTTAAGTAGTGTATAAATATTTTTTTAAAAAAAGATATTTCTTTAACCTTTCATACTATTTTAAATTATTTTTTTCTTAAAACAAGAAAAATTCAATTGTAAATCAAGTATTACTAAGCATAAAATTTAAGTGAAGCTTAATTGTTATTACTATATTTTATTTGCATTTAAAAAATTCTCAAATTATATAAAGGATCAAAGTTGACATAAAATTAATTAATAACATACATCTAAGGTTATAATTCGGTTCTTAGTTTCGGTTATTCGGTTCGCTACGTTATGGGACAGTTTTGTTCGCTTCTCGGTACGGATATTTGTGAAATCTCCAGAACCGTACCAATTATTTTTTCAGTTTGGTTCAGATTCGGAGAAAGTCAAATAGTCAACGGTTATTTTTCGGTTCGGAGTGAACTCAGTTCGGTTCTCGGAACTTTTTGAATTCTGCGAGTTCCATGCTCAACCCTAGTTTATATACATGGTGTTAGAAAGAAAGAGATTAAGTTACAATAACAAGAAAGTTTCATATACTATCACCTGAATCAGCTTTGGTAATAATCTTGATTGACATTCAAGTTGAGGCATGCTTATCATATACTCCAAGATAGAAGTTTCATTTGAGGTCATCCAAATGATTCGGCAGACAAACCAGCTGGTTTTTACACTTGACATTGGGATAGCTATCTATAGACTATTACTTAATTTGATATATTTATAATTATAGATGTATAAATAAAATTCGATGAAACTGATTGCAAATATGCAGATACTACCCTTATAGTGTACATTTTCTTCTGTAGGAAACATGATTTAGGGAGATGGATAAGCCTAAAAGTCGAGGTCTTTTTTTTATTTTGCTTAAAAGCTTCTATTTCTTCATTTTATAAATGGTCTAAGATGAGAAAGAAAAAAGAAATCTTAGAAAAAGATATAACGAAAAATTCAATCTAAGGCTTGGGTTATTTGCTGTTGAAGTTGAGTGATTGCTTACAGTTTCTACTGTACAGGTACAAACTGCGAAATATTGAGGAAACAGAGGCATCAAAAAAGCTCTTGCAGGAGAAGAAGCTTGTGGGTCGTGCGAAAGCAGAGTCCAGCCTTCCTTCAAGTTTTAGTGCTGACTTTTTTCAACGTGGCAAGGATTATGCTGAAAAACTCAGAAAAGTTGAAAATAACACTAGGACAGACCTAAACCCACATTTCTAAGTAGCACTTAATTCATGTGGTGTTTGCTTCTTATGTTAGATTCTAAGCTTGAATGTCGTTAATGATCTTTTGCGATCATACAGTTCTGTGTTGATGAAGATAGATTAGAAATTTGCACGGCTTATCTACATATCTTATATTATCCCCATCAATTTTAATAGAATATGTCGTAGATGATGTTAGAACCTTGGGTGTGAATGAGCCACTCAGGAGAACATGAGTGAATCTGATTGCACGTTGTTCAACTTAAGTAATCAAGTGCTGCCTTTTCTCTCTCGCGGAAGGCGCTTGAGAGGTGCCTTAGTTGATTGGGTTTTGCTTCTAATGACGCAAGGACAATTCTTAGTCCTGTTACCTTGCGGGTTGGTTCGTTGTTTTGTATGTGCTACACTTTTCTGTAGCAATGATGATTTTGATATTGACAATATATTTTTCAGAACATCCACAACTTTACAAGGATAAGGGTGCAGATGATAATGGTGGGTTGGAATCTAGGCATCATGATTCGATTGGAGATGGTCATGGTGCAAGTCGAAGGCAGGCTGCCACTGATGAGTTCATGCTGGAGCGATTCCGAAAACGAGAGAGACAGCGTCTTATTAGGAGATAGCTTCAAATTTTAATCTGACGGTTGATTTTATTTTTTAATTATGTTGCTTTTATAAGGTCTCTGTGCTCAGCAGACAACATTGGTGGCTGATTGTATGTCAAAAAAAATTATCTTGTTTGGTTAGTCAAGGTTTGTTTAAGTAGTGAATGAACGAAAAAAAAAGAAAAATTACGTAAAAATATTTTATCTAATCTCATTTTTTTTAAATATAATTTTATTCACATAATTAATAAATAAAATTAAATTTTATTATATAAAGTGCAAGCTTCACTCTAGTCTTTCGTTAAGCATTATTAAAAAGTTCTATAAATTTTAATAATTCAGATAAGAATTGTTTGATGAGTAATAATTCTTAAATAATTTTTTTTATTTCAAACATACCCTTGTTTTCAAATGTTGCGAGTATTTTGTTAATTAGCATAATTGATTGGCTACGTGTAATAGTTTTAGGAGATGAATGTATGCGGAAGACTAATGCCCACGTAAACTAAAGAGAGGACATCAAAACAATAGAGAAACGCAAGTAATACACACCAACAGGTCTCAAAAGCAGAGTTTCGTATACACACCAACATTTTATCACTTTTGTCAAATCTCAATTGTAAGTCTTGTTGTCATATAAAGTGGAATTGCAATATTGTTGCCCACCAAGCGGGCCTTGTCCGCGATGGGACCTTTCTTGTGGAAGGACTGTATCTCGTATTTTCTATCACCTCTTTTTTGTAATGGTCGGAGTCTAAATCTCGTTATTATTATTATTATTGATTATTGATATTGTAATTGCCAAAAAAAA